AATAAATTATAGTACTACGTACCAACAGTGTTTGAGTTATCTTCAATAATGCGTATTTAATTGACTTCGAATATATTGATGATGTTCTTATTTTAACTACTTATATTGCAGTCGGTTGTACAATTTTTTTTATTTTACCATTTGTTTTTCGAAAAAAAAATCGTTTTAATAAAGTATAATCGACGTATATTGTGTAATGTTGATACTATGAAATGTCATACGCCATTTGCATTTCACAATTTTAAGTAATATAGGAGAACGCCAGCAGCCTAACGTGTTTTGTGTAATTTTGATACTATAAAACGTCATATAAATGCCACGTGATACGTGATATCAAGCTATAATATAAGTGGTAACGCCAGCAGCCTAGAGATGTAGTATGATTATAAGACTTTAGTACTCCACCTGCTAAGCGAGGCGATCAAGGAAATTCGACCTTAAAATGTACGGAATAGGCCCCTATTCAACTGCGGACTTAGCGGAATTAAGAAGTATAGAGGAGAATTTACCATTGGGAAGATGTATGCAGCAGTGTATTCATAAGCCTAATAAAAGACATGATATGAAATGTGAATAAATCAAAACCGCTATTATAAATGAAATAATTTAAACTCTGGTGCCGTGCCCTGTAGTGACACGCAAAAGAAGCTTATTTTTATACGTGGTAGAGCCATGCTGCATTTATATTAGTAGTATAGTTGTAGCACGAATGGGTCGGCTCGACCGGGGAAGGACCACGCTCTCACAGAATACCAGCGTAAAATAGTAGCATAATGTCGCCGTGTTTCGTATGGTGAGTGTAGAGAACCGGAGACATTTTTTTACTGGAAACGAGTACATCTTAGTCCTCACGGGTGACAACGCATCTGCATTTTGATTCGTAATCGAAGATAGACGTAGATGTCTATGGGCCACAGCAACCACTTACCATCAGGTGGAGTGTGTGCTCGTTACTTAGCCTATCCCATAAAATATAGCTACTACCACATATCATACCGTGGGTGGCGTAAGATACGATAGAGCGAAATGAAACAGGAGTTGGGTAGCAGCATCTTCCTGATAACAGCTGAATTAAGAAAACTGCGGTTACCTACCCGCCTGTTAGGCGTGGTAACTATAGCAAATATTCCGACTATACAATCTACGGGGGAGGCATACGTTACGATAGGACTCTTTTGATGGGCGTTATAGAGCGTACGTGCGTTTGATCGTGCATGCACTTTTTGTTTCATAGATATTTCTTAACTTTTGAGTAGTCTCAATGATAATATTTTATAATTTAAAAAGATATTTATAAAATAAAACTTGTGTCTGTGGTTCTGTAATTTATTTTTAATTTTGCCATAGTACTGTAGTTGTGACAGTTCTTACTTGCTGGCGACATAATGTAAGATAACCATTTAACTTTCTGTCACGTACTGTCTCGTCCTGTCTTCGGCCAGTTCTGCTAATAATTGTGATGCAATATTGAATCGGGTAATTTATTAATGTCACTCGTTTCGCATGTGTCTGAGATGTGCACGATCATTGTATCTGTACTGTGATAATTTAAAAAAAAATTATATCGAGCTGAATTTGGTAGCCGCTCCAATAAAAGAAAAACATAAAAAAATCGTAATTAAGCATATATGCAATACAGTAATTTTAAAACTCTGTCGTAATTTTGACGCATCTTTAATGCTCTCGCCACAAATCTTCATCCATTTCAAAAAAGGGAAAAACAGTGCCTTCAAAAGAACACTTCGATTTTTGTAGTGTTCATATGCGCCATCGAACACGGGGTTATGCTCGTGCGAGACAGAGAAAAGAAAGTGCAGGTAGTCGAGTCGAGTCGGCAAGATTTATTAGATCGTAACTGGCGAGGTCGGCAACACCCGACGATGTCATCGCGCGCTGCCACAGAAAAAAAAATTAAACTTGTCCATAGATCGAAATTTGAATCATGTTCATGATTACCTTCGTTTCTTTTCCTTGTGTAATGCACAGAGAAGGTCGAACGTCGAATTTTACGTTAGTTTATAAGTAAACATATCCTTGAGTCATTTAGTTGACTATTTTTTATTCGTGGTAGAGCCATGCTACAACTATAGAACTATATACGTACCAAATTGATCTCATTGCTGGGCGATCTTATGACGTAAAACGAATTTGTCGACTTGCGGGGTCAGAGAGATAATATTTTTCCAAACAATTCTGTGATAACTCGTTGAAAACGACGAATTTTAGGTTTCTGACTAATTTTAATCACAAATGTTTCATGGTGGATTTTAAGAAAACTGTTTAAAAAGTAAACGACTTGCTTCTGGAATATTGCTCACCCCTAGTAAAAACAGCAAGCCGTGTAATTAAAACTAGTGTCGCTCTCGACATTCTTTCACCAAATAATCGCTAACCGTGCGTTAATGACTTTTTAATGATTACACCACTGGCGTATTAGGTAAGAGTTGAAATTTGTTGTGTTGCTAATTTCGTAATTTAAATGAAGACCCAAGAGGGACAATGTCAAACCTCGAGTACACTCAATACTTTGCGTCTCTCTCTTGTATCATGAAGAGGACTTTTCCATTTATTTTTCAATAATTGTTTCAAACAGTTTCGCTTTATTTCTTTGAAACAATTTTCCATTCTTAAAGAACACTCGAAGCCTATTTTTTCAAATATTCCATAAACATTCCATTCTTAATTTTTGATTATGGGCTTCTCCCTTTGTAGAGAACATTTGCCTTAATCATCACGGTTAGAGGGTAGATTGAAGAAAGTAAAATCGAAGTACCAGACGTTTTGGACCTTTAATTCTGCTCCATGTCGCTGACCTAGTTGTTTTTCGCCAGGCGTAAGCGAGATAGTATTATTGCCATCTAAGATTCTAACATTACACACATATAGTTATAACAATTTATTAAACAGTGTGACTGTTTGTCTGTTTATTTTTAATGTATGTCCCGTAACAGATGGTTGCCATAAAGTTGTATTAAAAATATTTAGTGTCAAATGCTAGTGACACACCGCCTGTAGTTGCTCATCGTTCTAAATATATAAACGGTGAATGTCTATCAATGGGTGCGTTTGGCAGAAAAAAGCGCTTGTAAGCAAAATGGCGATCGTAAGCGGTAAGCGCTGTCAAATCGTAAGTAGCTATTTTCCTCCAGGACACGAGGTTAGTTTTAACCGAGGAACCTAACCTAATTTAAATATATGTTTGTAAAGTATTCATATTTGTAAAGTATTCATATTAAAAACATACCAATTATGTATTTTTAATAACATGTATAATATGTTTATTCATGTCATTATATTACTTAAAACTAATATTGCTCAAAACAACTTATAAACTCTACTTCAAAATAAACAAATTAAATAAGCAAAATGGCGGATTGTGTCAGCGCTACTGAAGTAGCAATCGTGTCCTGGCCGAAAACTATTTCAGCGCTTGTATGCGCTTGCTAGCGCTTTTTTCTGCCAAACGCACCCAATAATTCAGCGTTCTCTTTCAGTTCTGTCCTGTGATTGATATGAATTCATATTCCTTTGATGTCTTACGTCGCTTAATGTCGTTCTTGCTGTATGTTCTTGGACATGCCGCTGTTCAGGTCTTTGAGGCTCTCTTCGTAGAGTATAATAAAGTAAAATACGTAGTACGTTATAAAAAAAAGTAATTATCAGGACACAAATTACAAAGAAAACGACGCAAACCTATCCTTAGTATAATAACATATCATATAGGTACCTTAAATTTTTTCTATTTCTTTTTTTTAACGTTACCCCTACACTAAGATTTTCTCTTGTATCGTGGGGGCAGTATACAAACATAAATTGCACAAGGACAAACATCCAGATCCGGAATAACTATATGTAGGCCATACAAATACTTGTTCCGTGCGGGATTCGAACCCGCGACCCCCAGTGCAGCCACTCATTGCCAAGCCACTGCGCCACGGAGTCTCAAAACTATTAAATCTATTGCATAAGGCGAAAAATTACAAATTTTTAAAAATATTTGTCCGTCCTCCATGCCAAGGACGACTATTAAAGTTATTCCTCCCTAAAATGGGAGATACCCATGTCCAGCTGTGTAATCTTACTGGCTGGTGAAGATGAAGACGCGAAAATTGTTTAATATTATTAAAAATAAAATATTTTAGCGGCATAATGAGCACAGCTTGATCTTAATGGTACACCACTTGAATGATAATTTTGTATGTAATTACAAGTTATATGCTTTTAGAGAACAGAATTCTATGCTATGCTGAAACGTTTACTTTCATCACTTTATTCTAAAGAGAGTCTGCTTCTTTTATTTCTTTAACTTTCTTTGACGTTAGGCTTTAACACGGATGTCAATATCGTTACCATTTTAAACTGCTTGTTATCTTGGTAAACACTGGTAATGTTTAGTTTCGAATAATAAACAGAATTTTAAGCAATTAGAATTCGTAATTGGCACAAAGGGCAGTGAAATATAATACTGAGAATATGTTCTTTGTTGTGTTGGTATACATTTTAAATTGATTTATCACTCATATTCTTCACTCGTAATCGCTGATTATATATTTTCTGTATAAGTTTGTGATACTGGTAGCTTCATATGTCGTTGTTCAGTTCATCTATCTAACTTAGGTTTAATTTTGTAGATTAGCCCACTGTTATTAGCTTTTGTATCGTAAACAAAGACGAGTCACGACAGTCAATAGCGTCGAAAATGACGGTCTACAGCCTACGTCACCCGCTTCCTCTCTACACGTACGTAGCGAATGACGCAATTGGCTTTTTCAATGTCTTATCTACAGCGAGGTGTATTGTCATTCGCCAAGTGACCGCTGCGCTGCGCACACGTCGCAATCGTCGCGGTTTATTTTTGTTTCACTTTTGTCTTTATACTTTTTCACCGTCGAGGACGAGGCGACGTATCGCGCGCTGTGAAGTGCCAGTGTTTTGAACTTTATCTGTGACATTTGTGTGGCAGTTTAAATCTGTAATTAGGTTGTTTTTATTAATCTATGATGTACATGTCCGGATTTTTTATTTTTTCCACCGATTTCTCATCGAGGTGTGTATTAATATCTTGATCCCTATTAATTATTAGGTCGTTCACTTTACATTGCATTACGTATTTAACCTGTTTTGTATACGACGCTTTGTTCTTAAAATTATCCTTAATTGATTTGTTCTAGGCTTTCCTCGACATGTTGAAATATATATTTAAGGAAATGTTGTACATTCGACACCTTGAATCTGTATTCCTTTTTCGCAATATCAAAATTAAAAAGCTACGTTTTAACAAAGGCCGCTTACTTGTTACGGTGATAATGTTTAGTGTAAATTTAAAGCAGTTGGAAATAATAATTTAACGAGCGCTAATGTCTCCGTGTAATTGTTACAGAATGACGCCGCAAGAGGAGCGTGAGAGTGCGCGTGGGGCAGAGATTGCGAACGCCTTCGAGGATGACATGTTCGGCCCTCCGCGGACTGAGCCTGCCACTCGCCCAAAACTCTCCATGATTTCCGCAAGGCTTCGAGCAAACGAAGAACGCAAACGGGTCATTGAGATCTGTTCGCAAAAGCTGGAAAATATTGAAGACCCGGCGCGTGACCTTCGGCGGTCAGTTTGTATAAACAACACGTATTGTCGACTGAGCGAAGAGGCGCGCAAGGAGAAGGAAGCGAGGAGACGACGAGCCAGAGAAGAGTGCGACGATTCCTGGGTGGGAAAGAAAGCCAGACGAGCGGTCGAGGACGAGTGTCTGGCGTTGTTGGACGCAATACCGGAGTTGGGGGACGCAAATCTCGGTTGCGCACAACTAGCAAGGCAACTGCCGCGACAAGATGTACCGTTGCTGCCGCCTGGCCTTCTTACGGTTCTCGATTCATGACCGCATCGCACTGCGCACCTTCACACACAGCTGTGATGTCAGAAATCGGAATGAGACGCGCTCGAGCCGAAAGCGCTCGAAACGTTGACCGTGTTACCGGAGGTACGCGCTCGTAGCGATTCGAATTGCACCCGAGGTGATCCGGGTCGGGATCGAACCTGCGCTTCAACAGACGACGAGCCCCGTGCCACAGTATCCACGTTACCTCGGACAGTCAACGTATAGCTAATTCTTTGTTGTTTAAGAAGAGTACTTACTTTGTTAACATGTTTTTATTATTATTTAGTGAAAGTTGCTAAGGCGCAGCCGGCGGGCGCGGTCCAATTTGTGTTCGATGATTATTTCATTCGAGGACTTGGAGTGAATTTTGTCCACTAAGCGTCGCATGGTGAAGAAGATCAAAATTGAGGCAGTTTTATGGTTTATATAGGAGATCTAGATATAAGGCATAATGTTACATCATTGTATTATAAATAATTATATGAATAGTTTGTAAATGATAGTGCAAATGATTGGGAACGGCCGCAAGGGGGGCTCTACAGTGAAATTAGTTTCTCGCTTATTTTATTTTTTGAAGTTTAGTTTTGTGTTATCAAGTGAGCCACTATGTATATTATTACAAGATTATTTCGGACGGAATTAATTCCGCGCATTCCGCAAATTTCGAAAGTAAAAGTTGAGTAGCGAGTGAGCGAGCATGCATGAAGTCGACTGTCTAGTAGGCCATCGAATATACCGTGTGACGAGGTTTCGTTCATACCTAACTAAAACAAAAGAAAAAGAGTATTTTGGAAGTTTTGACTTTACAGAACAGAAGGCAGTTCGTGAGACTTACGACCTTACTCGTGGAGACAGGCAAGGGCAAACGTTTGAGGGCCACCAACCAAATGTTTGATGAAGCATTGCATTTTTAGGAACAAGTCTGAGTTTAAAATTTGTTTTGTATTTTTTTTAGGTTTTTGTGTTTAAGTTGGATATTCTTATTTCGCTTTTACGTTACCTTATCTCATAATTTATGCTCTGTTACCATTTCTATAAGTCGATTGAAATGCTTACATTCGATCGTTGCGTAGTTTTTGATATTACGGGCGTTGTGTTTTGTAACATATTTTTGTCATTGTTAATTTATTATACATTTATTGTTGGCGGTTTTGCGAAAGTTGTGCATTGTGTGACTCGTGCAATCGAAGAGACCAACGAAGTTTTTCTATTGAGATCTTAATTGTCGCAAAATATATCGGCTGTTGCCCTCCTCGCCCCTTTGAATAGTAAGTAGGTACCTTGGGGAAGACGCGGCGGGGTGGGGGACCTTAGGTAGGGATATTAGGGTGGTAAGGGGGCGAATAGGCCGGGGCCGCGCCGTTCCCAGCACTCCTGTGATATTAGCCTAGACTGTATGTCGTTTTCGTACTAGTTTCCCTATCCGTCTTTTTTGGACGCTGTGCTTTGTATAGAGTAACGCTTTAAGAAAATGATTCCTTTTCTTCATGGGCGGTTCAATACAATTAACCGGATTGTAATCGATTAAACCAACTGTAGTGCGCTTACACGTCTTTCTTCATTGTACCAATAAAAATATAGTATTTCCTTTTATATAGCGTTTTTATGTTTATAGAATTATGTATTATAAAATTAAGCGCTTGTAATGCCGTCGGGATAACCCGATGGGGATTGAGGTTTGCAATAAATTGATGGCGTGCGAACAAATTGCTACGTTATTCAGTCTGTTTAACCTATTATATTGAAGTATTCTGTCATTTGTATGTTAAGATAAAACAACTTAATTATAATGTATTAACAAAACACCCAAAGTTTTACAATGAAATGTAGTCTGAAGGCAGAGAGACCCTACAAGGAACAAGGCTTTTACGTTTGTAAAGTTAATCTTTCTAAGTAACGAAGCAAACGCTTCATATACGTATGTTTCATTAGTTTTAACGGAACTATTACCAAATGTATTCAAATAAATCAGTTGTACGCACATATAAATTAAGCAACAATGTATTCAACGAGCCACGTCCATATCTGAGTTAGGTATATAAATTTTATATGCGAATGAAGAACAGAAATTTTAGTTTATATTATAATGTGTTTAAAAACGTGGCTCCAAAAACTCGTACCGGAGCGGGTTTTACTATCAGAATGTCAAGAAATAAATATTTTAAATACTGAGCCTTTTTTGTTTTATGTAGAAATCCTGGTACGAACGGCAATATAATATTTTCAAGCTAGTTATAATCTACAATTTTAAAATTATTAAAAAAAAAACAATGACCTAAAACAGCATGTGTGTTTAATGAAATAAATAGCAATTGATGATTTGCATTGAAACTTGCAGCTATTGACAAAAGTTAATTATTTATCCACATATATTTATTTATATTATTATATTGTATCAAGGAAACATTCTTAATAAAATATATGACAGGTGAACAAACAACAGATTGTTGACTCCGAAGTTCTAAAGAATGTCATCTGAAATTATCTACTCTAAATATGTACGTGGATGAAGAATAACGCGCCAGCTTATTACAGCTCGCGCCGTCCCTCTTACTCCAAGCTAGTAAGAACGAGACTAGTATTATCGAATAATTCGATACAATCTCCGCACAGTTACTTGCTAGTGGGAATTGCAAAATTGTAGGCTTATGTAGTGTACATTGCTTACTGAACTCCACGTGCAATATTCGTTATATCGTACACAAAGTAATGTACATGTTACGTTCGATTATTACTTGTAGTGAGTTGAGTAACCATTGACTTTGTACGGATTCTGTCACAAAGAAATCATAATACTAAACGAAGCACAAATGTTATGAGAGAAAACATTACATAGATTAATAATTAACTGTGTAAAGCGCGTAATTGAAGTAAATTATTGCTACTTTCGTTTTATGCAAGCATATAGTAAAAGCCTACAACACATTTTGTTGGAAATTGTTTTTAAATCTCATGTATGCATGTCATATGTACCTAAATACTACATTCGCAATTAGGTTGATCCTAAGGGTTAAAGAACTGTCACATTACTAAGTTCCATGTTAGCCAACATACACAATTTGGTAACATAACTGTTTCAAGCTGTTAAAAATATTTGGTTATTCTAAAGAATGTGTTATGTATAAAAAATATTGAAGTTAAATGCATTGTGAAAAGAGAGTGATAGATGTTACGGAGAACTGTATAAACTCAATTTTATAATACCTACTTAAATCAATTTTTATTTGTATTTTTAATAAATAACCAAGTCATATAATACACATGTCAGAATGTACTTAAATTTAAACCGTATAAATTAATTTCTTGTACGTTGCACACTGTAGCCAATCTGTTGCGTACCAACTCAATTTGTTAGGTTATACAACTAGAGGCAAGGTAAACTTTTGCTGAGAACAATAAGGATAAGAGAGCATACTGTAAATGTTATCATAATTTTATTATCGTGATTAGCTGCTATTTTATAAATGTTTCCTGTCCTAAGCTAAGAGATGATCATTAAATAAATATTAAATAAACATAATAGTTATTTTATTCCAACATCTGACCGAAATAGAGACATTAATTAATATATTAGAAGGTCACATGGTGCAAAGTTGTTTTATGTTGTCATATAATTTTTATAAGTTGACTTTTGCTTGAACATAAGGCGGCGGCTTATGAGAATCCATTAACTTATTTATTTTATAGTATAGAGTGACAAACGAGCACACAGTCCACCTGATGGTACTCGGTAAGTGGATGCTGTGCCCATAGATATCTACATTTATCCTCAATTAAGAATCAAAATGTAGATATCGTTGTGGACTAAGATGGAATGCCTAGTTTCCAGTAAAAAGGGGTCTCCGGTTCTATACACTAACTATACGAAACACAACAGCGTTAAGCTGCTATTTTACGCTGGTATTCTGTGAGAGCGTGGTTATACCGAGCCGACCTGCGAACCCAATCGTCCTACAACCATAATATAATATATAGCCGAAGTGTGGCTTCTTGTGCATATCGTATGAGGTGACTATGGGATTTGCCAAAAAGAAGATATATTTTACTATAAAAGCTGTTTCGTTTGCGCCAATCATTAAATATGTAGAACGGCGAAAGTGAGCATGTGGCAAAGTGATGATTGTGGCAAATTCTCCCTACAAGAGGTACATGCCCAGCAATCGACTTAATAGCTTATAAAGAAGAAGAATATTATTTAACAATAAATTATCATTAATGCACATTATCTATTGCTTTATATAAGAATCTTGCAGACGGGGAATCCAGTGCCCCTTCATCATCGCCGCTGCCAAACATTTTAATTGTTATAATTAAAATCATTTTAATATTCTAAATATTTATATAATTTTTAAAATAATTTGTTCCAAAAAAGTACGTAAACTTCCAATGAAGCAGCGAACCGACTCTTTCCTGTTCCATAACCTACTTAGATATTATTATACGAGGCCTGTGTATAGGGGCTGCCACTTGCCAGCCTCCATCCCTTATAACATGTAAACAAATTTTCTTATTGAATTATATATTAATATTATAATACTTATATATATATATATATATATATATATATATATATATATATATATATATGTTTATATAGTAAAATTTTGAAAAGAAATACTAAAACGTCGCCACCATATACCAAATTGTAGCAATAATTATACGCTCAATATTAGCTGCCTCTATGTATTTCCTCATCTCTACATAAATATTTATATAAAAGAAGATTCTCACCAGGATTATAAAAGCCCATGGTCAGCGTGGTTTTCAAGATTTTATAAACACTAATATTACTTAAAAAGTCCAAATAATTAAAAGATGCAAAATACTAGTATAGTTTAAAACATAAACACTCTAAAATAGAAAAAAAATCGAATTCTTGGGGTACTGGGTGATACTTAGTGATAATTTTGAAGGTAGATGTGGCTATGTGATAGACAACCACACTCCTTACATTTGAGAAGTGACAAGTGCAATGACAAGACTATAACATTGCTGTCTAG